CCTGAGCACTGTTCGTACATAGAGTTTCCGGAGGCAAGCCATTTTGGAAGTGGATGCCGCGCCTGCTTCCAGGCTTGATTTAGTCGGGAAGCTCCAGGTAACTGAAATGTCATGGTTTTATTTCCTTTCATAAATAGTAGTGAAGTATCCAAGAGTGGTTCAGGAAAGGGATTCTGGGAAGTCTTGTGAGACAAATCTGGGGATGAACAGACACATGTTGCTGAGCAGCTTCTGGTGCCCAGTGAATGTCTACATGGATTAGCTACTAATAATTCTGAAGTACAATATCAGGAGGCATCTTAATGAAAATTGGTATTTAAAACAAAGAGCATGTGCTATTAAGTGAGAAAAGACTATTCTGATGGACAATCTATTACCTTAGTGTTCATTTCCTACATAAAATAGATTTCCTACATAAATGCAAAAATATACTGTGGGGGGGCATATTTGAAAGACCTTCAGAGGAATGCACGATATGACTGAGAAATGAAAAACGCAAAACCCATGCATAAATCCATACTGAGAAAAAGGATCAAATAGACTGAAAGAGCCCTTGTCTTCTCATGTAAGAAAAGGAAAATGTTACTCCCTCCTCCACTTTTGTACCACCTAGATGCGGCCCTCCTTTCTCTTACACTGAGAACATGAGTGTTGGCTGTCTCCCAATGAACTTACTCAGATAAACACAATATGGTTTTCTTTTAAAATAAGCTTTTACTGAATATATCAACAAGGTACTGTATAGTGTAGAGTGAAGAGTTTGTAGTTAACAAAGTGTGCGACACGGTAGGTCTCAGAGGACGTGTGATGCAGAATCTTCCAGCCCCTTGTCGGTGAGAAGTCACTCAACACAAATCAGAAACAAATCAACACATGGTTCAAACAGTAACAAATCATCAGGCTTAACTTTCAGAGAATATACACCAATCCTGTGAGGGACACACAACGGTGACGCTTTCACTTGGCCTGACAGAGGTTATAATACATCCCACGGTCACCTCTACAGATGTCCCTGTGTGTGTGTGTGTGTGTGTGTGTGTGTGGTGCGACACTAATTTTAAAAATGCCTTGCTTTGTGCTCTTCTGATGGGTGTGCGGCTAGAAAAGAAAAGAAACCCAACAAAAAAAGAATATGATCTTTTGTAATGGTTGTAGAATACATGTACAAATGCTTTCAACCAGTGCTGTTTCTCCCATCGCCAACAATATGATGTGTGTCATTCTGCTGAGGGAATTCGGATGGGTACCAGTTTCCTACCCTACCACTCTGATTTAAAGGAAAACATGGCGCAAGGCCTGACGAGACTTGGGAGTTTCCTGGTGGTGGTGCCTTGTGTATGTTTTTCTTTTCCTTTCTGGGAATTCATTTTTGCTTTGCTTTCCCATGCGGTTGGAAAGAGAAGTCCTAAGTAAAGCCGTTACTCTCATGTCCTAAAGTAAAACTTTAATGACTTTTTGTTACAAGCTAGAGAAAAGAAATGTTATAAACAAAAAAAAGTCAATGAAAATTAACCACTTTACTGTCAACAGCTGCATTAGACATCGTGGCTGAGGCTGATCAACACATTGGTTGCTCCCATGCACTTCAACAAAATTGCCTTGTTCGTAAGGATGCTTTGCCCATGAGGCATGTGTGCCTTCCTTGGCAGAGAAGGGAGTTCTGACCTCTATGACTCCACTAGGGTCATTACGATCAGCACTAGTAAGCAATGGAGGTGTCCTATGAGCTACTTCATTAAGACTTTGCACCAGATTGGTCACATTATACTTGGGGGGAAAAAAACCCACAAAAAACCAAAAGCAAAACCAAAAAAAAAAAAAAAGCACCCACTTTCAACACATGCAAAGAATGAGAAGTTGCCTTCTTTCTTCTGTCGGAGAAGCTGTGTGGCGTCAGAAACCCTGGGGAATGTAACCTTTTTAATGCCTAACTGTCCTATCTGATGGGCTACTGATGCATCTGACAATGTCTGAGCAAAGTCCACGAACTCTCCATGATTACGCACATTTCCCCAAATGGGGATTAACAACAACAACTCTGGGTGTCACTTGCAACTTGCAGAAATACATTTCCTTTTGCAATCTCTTCTGTGTAGCAACTTGCCTAGTTCTGAATGTGGACACACACTGATGTGACGTCATTTTGTCAGACAGCATGAAGCTGTTTACAAGCCACCGTGGGAGGTTTCGTTTCGTGGTTCTAGCTGGTACCTTCAACCCTGCCTCTTGACAGCTGCCTAAAGAGATGTAGTAATGGCAGGCAGAGAGGCCCAAATGCCCAGGATCAGCAAAAATACATTACAAGGAATAAAAATGCCAATCAAAGCACTATTCACCACTGAATCTATCCAGGGCTGCTGCTACAAATGGGAGGCTGGTGTTCATTTTAGCGCAGTTTTTGTCGCACTGTGTGCAAAGTCAAAATCAAGCCTGAAACTAGAGTGCACCTCCTCGGGAACATCACTTAGCAGAGTAACCCCTTCAGATCATGATAACCATTTCACTTCACTATGTTTCCATTACTTTACTCATGACCGGAATAATTTTGTGGACCTCACAAGAAGACACAAATAGGAAACTATCCAACTTGGGTCTTCTTGGCTCAAAGGGGCGGGGGGGGGGAGGGAAATAGCATCCAGAAATTCTACTTGGTGGAACCACACACAATGTAAATAAATGAGAAGTGGCATCCATTTCCTAAACAACATACCACTGGAAACTCTATGGACTTTGAGACATGTTGATAGCTGTAGAGGGGCTTCAGGTCTTTTGTTCATAGGGTCGCTATGAGTAGTGCTTGACTTGATGACAATCAAAAACAACAACAAGGGGGAGGGAAAGCAAACCAAACCTTCAAAGTCAAAGTACCATCATTTGAACTCATAGTTTAGTCTACACAGCCAAGGGGAAGAGGCCTATGAGAAGGATTATCAAGCTAGGTACATAAAATCCTATGGCATTATTCTAAATTTCCAATTGTATCCTGCTTCCCAGGCTGCCTCGCCCTTTCAACATGTGAACCTAAAAAAGCAACAGCCAAAACTCTCTGAAAGACTGAAAAGGAACCCAGAGTCACTTTAGAATTAATTCAAATTAATGAGGAGCTAATTTCAGCTCAAGTGGCTGAAGTACAACACCGCTTCAGTTCTCAGGTCTGTACCATCATAGTGTCATTATACTTTCTGTTTATTCTCAGGGACCAACGAAGAAAAAAATATATAAACTTAGGGGATCAGTAAGAAACATAACGCTCTTGATATAATGAAAGAAAAATTGCATAGCATTTTATACCTAAATGTGTACAAAGAAGACACATCACAGTTTTATTTCATTTAAGAATAATAGTAAGAGAGAAAGAAAGAAAGATTTTTGTGACAAGTCCTTCTTGGATTCCTAAAATAGAGGCCAGCAGGAAAGGTAATAAGAAGCTCAGAATGCAATGCCCAAATTAGATTTTAAAAATGTGTTTTTGGCGAGAATATATCTTTGAGATAATGTATATAGCCCTTCTATAGCTAAGGGAGGAGAATGAGTAAATCATGCACGCTCTCTGATCATGGATGTTGCCACCGAGATGTTCAGCATGAAGCACATAATGAATATTCCTCTCCTGGTAGACCCTCTGCTCTCTACCTTGTCCTGCCAATGACAGGGGAAGCAGCCTTCACTCTCCAGTTAGCTCATTTTTCATTTGGTGTCTGGGTAATAGAAGATCGATTATCGCTCTGCAGTTCCCAAAGAAGAGGAACATCCAAGATTGAAAAAGAATAAATGAGATTTCAAAAGTTGAACTGGATCAAAGTCAGTCCAAGGTGGAAAACCAGGTATTGTGTAAAAAACACCCACAACATCATTTCCACCAGCTCCGATGTGCCCTTATGGAAAGATTGTGTAAAATCAGTGAAAATCAGTAGGCATTTTAAAATGTCTAAGTGCACATGGGTATTCTATGTAACCAAGACAGGCATTCTTTATAGTCTACGATATACAGAAAAGGGGTAGGGGAATACGGAGCATGAACAACTAATTATTTTAAAAAAAGAGAGAGAAAAAAGTGCTGGATGATTGGAAGACAAATTTCTGGGGCAAATGTATTAATTCAAGCTATTTCAACATGATACCCACAAAAATCAGCTGATCTAGTGTAACAGAACCACTTAGTTGTTCTTGTTTAAGTTATAATCAATAATTTTAAAATAACTTTGTTTTAGTAAATCCAAAACACTGATAATTTGTTAAGTCTAAAGATCATGTTGACATAGCATTGGTGAAACTACTGAAATAATTCTCATTATCAAAAATAATTCCATCCAATATAATTCTTCCCATTATTTTATTAGCCTCTTCTAAAAAAGTATTCTAGAATATATCTCTGTTGAATTTTATTCAACCTGACATATGACTTGAATAGTAACATCTTTAAAGGGAATTTTCTTGCTAGAACATTCTACCTGTCCCTGCAGACAATTAAAATCAGACTCAGGTCTCTAACTCTGTTATCACATCCAGCCAGGGAAGCGTCAGGAGTGATTTTTTTTTTTTAAGCTCCCAAGTCAGAAAGCCAACCTCGAGGTTTAAAGGTTTTTTACAATCTTGCCTCATTTTCTCGAATCTGCCAGGTTGGGTTAAATTCTTCCATGAAATTAGTTCTCCCGTGATGCTTTCTGTTATTTCCTGCACTGGGTCAAATTAGGGTAAGAACTACTTTTCCTACATTTGAGGATTTATTACTTTCTTCCAGACCAGGAAATATAGCGATAGCATGACAATATCTGGGCCACCTCTTGTTTTATCATATTACTTATCCTACCCTGATGAGTCCATTTTAATTGGCCCTTTCATCTGACCACTGGCTCGAGACAAAAAGTTTATTCTGACAACTTCGACAGCAAAGTGGTTAATAAGCATCATAAGGAAGAATCACTCATTCTTTTGCCTTGGTGTTGGGTTCTCATTGTACAACCCTGTACAGTACTTCAGCGACTATTTTTTTTAAGATTTAAAAAGCAAAGAGTTACAAAACTGTCTGTAATTAACTTGAAATAGAAAAGATAGCACTTTTTTAAATCCCATTATATAGTACACAGTATAAATTACAGAGTATTCAAATGCACAAATGCATCTGGGTAACATTTATCAAATGTAATTTGCGTGTCTGTCTGCGCACACACGTGTGGGTTCCCGAGAGGGGTCCTGTCCGCCTCACCCAGCTGAACCTCTGGCTGTCACGTGTGGCAGTGTTCCAGGTCTGGCACACTGCTGTTGCAGTATCGCATGTTGTTGGGGATATGGCAGTCTGTGTAATTAATGCCCCCGTTTGGGGTGTAAATGGGCTGCAGTCTGAAATCTCCTTTAAGGAGCTGATCGTTATTTAAGGAGACGATCTGAAAGCTGGTTTCTGTCATCTCCAGGATGGAGTTGTCCTTCTTGGTGCCTGCCTCGCAGTAGTCGTCTTTCCGCCGGCCTCGGTTGTATTTCCACTTCTGGGAGGTGTAGCGCCCCTTTTTGTGCATGTGCCAGCAGAAGATACTGAGCAAGACCACGAGCACAAAGATCACGGCGCCACCAATCAGACCCGCCAGCAGAAAGGGGGAGCCCATGCTGTGGGAAGTCGTCTGCTCGTGGCTGGACGCCGTGTTGCTGCTGTTGTTCAGATAGGAGGCGTGCGTGGTGGCCTCCGAGCAAATGGTATCTTCGACGGCTCGGTAATTAAAAGCATCCAAGGGCACTAAACAGATCCGATAGGTCGACTTGGGCTCAAGATTAACCAGGCTCAGATGCTGCTTCTCCCCACTGACGATGCGCTCCTGAACGATGCCCCCGACCAAACTGTGGCCCATTTTCACCCAGGTGAGTTTGTACGCCATGACGGTGAAGAGAGAAAGCCAGCTGACCTGGATGGAGGTGTCATTCACGAAGTGGATGGACAGCTGGATCCGCTCAGAAATCGGCGGGGTCACTCTCTCTCGGCCCTCCCCGTCGGGGACGGTGGGAAGCTTGGACGTGGTGGGAGTTAAAGGCAGATCGCTTCTGCTAGGTGTTGGAACAGAAGGTGTGGGAAGCTCAGTGGTTGGAGACGCTGTACTGGGGGCTGGGGTGAAGAGAGGCAGGCCAGGCGTAGTGGTGGGACAGGACAGAAGATTCACATTCAACTCCCTGACAGCCATCCCCCGGACCTGCTCGGGGCCTTGACACATAAAACCTCTCACGTTGAGAGATGAAGGGATGTATTTGAGCCACTCCGTGACCCATTTAATACTGCAGTCACAAAACCAAGGGTTATTCCGAGCAGTGAGCTGCTTCAGGCTGGAGAGGTTATCAAAGACCCCTTGAGTCAACATCCGCAGTTGATTATTGGAGATATCCAACCGTTCCAGTTTGCGGAGATTTGAGAAGGCTGTCAGCGGGATGTGGTTTATCTGGTTGTCCTGCAAATAGAGCCTGATGAGATGTGTACCTGGGAGATCAGGAGGGGGAAGTGAGAGTGAATTCCGTACAATGGAGAACTCCTTGAGTTTGGTGAGGTGACTGAAGGTGCCCTCGGCGATGCCCTTGTTGGTCAGGAGATTCCCATCCACAATCAGACGCTCCAAACTCGTGAGGTTCTGGAAGGCCATGTCTGATATGACAGCAATTCGGTTTTCATCCACCCTCAGCTCCTGCAAGTCCACTGGAAGGCCAACAGGCACGCTGCTGAGATGATTCTTGGACAGAAACAGCAGCTTGAGGCTGATGGCCTCCCGGAAGGCCCCATCTTCCACTCCCACAGTGGAGATGGAATTGTCATCCAGATGGAGTTCCTCCAGCTTCAAGAGCTGGGCGAGGGCAGCCCTGGAAATGGTCTGAATATTGTTTTCCTGCAGATGGAGAACGCGGACATTCTTGGGGAGGTTCATGGGGAACTCGTCCAGCTGGTTGCCGTAAAGGTAGACGGTGTGCACCGACTGTATGTTGTGCAGTTCTGCAGGAAATCCAGCATTATTAATTTGGTTGTTGTGGAGGTAGAGCACGGTTACGCCCTCCGGGATCCCAAGAGGCACTGAGGTCAAGCTTCGCTCGTTACAGTAGACAAAGTTCCTGTCGCAGCGACACACACTAGGGCACGCTAGGGCTCTGGACACCTGTGAGGACAGTCCCAGGGAAATGAGAAGCCATGATTTCAGGAAAAAAGCCCCATGGCTGGGCCACTTTGTGGTCTGCAGGCCCATTTCTGAAGGGAAGAAATAAAAAACAAAGTGATGAGGGGTGGAAGAAAAAGCCACAAAACAAAGTACGATTAAAAAGAAGCCAAACCGAGCAAAATTAAAAAAGAAAGAAGAAGAAGAAAAAAAAAACACAACAAAAAAATCTTTAAAAAACTCAAAGGGAGCACAAAACCAAAATAAATGGGCTGGGTTCTGTGCAAGCCCAGAGCTCCAGTCAAAGGTAAGTCCTGATGCTGTAAAGTGGACGAGCCTCCTGCCGTTCTGGTCCCTCTCAGCCCGTGCTGCTCTCTTTGCTGTTGTCCTCCATGTGCAAAAACTTCCAGGAAAGATAATTTTCTACACAGGCAACAGGCAATGCTCAGTTATCAATGGCCAGCAGGAGCCCAGGTGGGCAGGCAGAACTCCTTTCTTCTGTTGTACCAGGTCAGTTTTGTTCAGCCTCTGAGCTTCTTGGTTGAAATCAATCTGCAATCTGTTACAAGAAAGAAGAAAGAAAACAGTCAGTTAAGGGTCGGGATGGAGGAGGTGTCCACAGTTGTAACATCTTTAAAAAAACAAAACACTTTAAGAATGCCTTTGGCTAACATCAGGGGTTGGTGTGAAATGACATCATAAATAACCCAATTTACTGGTAATGTTTTAAAGAATGGTTATAAAGTATCTCATCTTCCCAAGAAAATCATACTGTTACCTCTGGATATCATTATCACGTTATCAGCACCAAATCTACTGCATAGTCTACATGCACTCAAACAGCAATGATTATACGGATTATACTGGTCACTGTCAAGTTTCAAGACAGCGATGCTAATGGTATAACTGATCAAATAAAGGGAACATGTGGGGGGCAAAAACAACTGTAAACAAATGCAAACTGGGGATTGTAAAGTCATTTAGAAGATGGATTCTTTTGATCTGGTACTGATTAAAGGCTGGATTAATGCAATGTGCTTAAGCCTGTGTGATAATTTCCCTTCTTCTACTCTGACTTTTCTTTTACCTCCTCTTTGGCTTCCTCCAAAATAGCTTAGGCACAAGTTACAAGTAGAATGGCCTGACTCTTTCACTCAGCCCCCATTTCTGGAGTTGTAGGTCAGAAAAGACTTATCTTTGTGATTCCTTTAAGAGATACCAAGTTCAAGGCGGGGATAAATGATTTTTTAACACTACTTTCTTTCCTCCATCTGTGAATGTTACAATGGTGGGTTTTTTAAAAAAATTAATTTTAATGGAAGTTTACAGAGACTTAGGGTTTCCAGTCATTCATTGTTGCACTTTTCTCCCTACTAATCTCCTCCCCCTCAGTACACTCTTCTCCTTGAAAGAAAAACTCTTTGTTATACAGTCCCAACCCCCAAGTTCATTCCTCCATGCAGCCTTCTTCACTCTGGACTTCTATAATGACAAGAATACCCATTCATATATCCCTTTTCAACAGTTCTCTTCCTCATCTGTTTCAATGCAGTATACATCATTCCTCCCCTCCTTCTCTGTCTTCCCTCAACCCTGATGTCAGTCCCGCAGTATTTTTTATGGAGGGACACTGAGAAAACCATGAAATGACCGAAGACACATTTGGGAAGTAAAGTCAATCCAGGGATCGCAATCATGTCCTCTTCTCCGAGAACCTGCTCCATCTGTTTTTCCATTAGAGAAGTAAAGAAGCTAATTGAAAGGTGCCAGATTTGATTTCCTTACAAAATAAGTTGGCATGACTAGACACGGCAAGCTGCGAGTCTCTTAATTCTCACCAATACACAGACAGTGAAACAATTTATTTATACAGACACAGAAGAACTAACTATTCGAAATTCTTCCCTTAGCTATCTTTAGAAACATAATTAAAACAGAAAAGAAAAAAAGGCACTGTAAATGATATTGAAGTGTCAAGGACATTGGAAATTTGTTCTACAGTTTAAAAGAACCATCTAAAAATGCAATTGGCAACCAGAGATTATAGAGTATTTTGAGGTTTCTTTTTGATCGTTTAGAAATCTAAAGAAGAACACAGTCATTCAGGCAAAAGAGATAGAAGTCATTTTTTTAGTAAGAATAAAATCTTCTGTAATGAAAATGTTTTTAAATCCCAAAACTTAAAAATGTGTATTGCCACCAAATAGGTCCCAAGTCTTGCAGAAGAAATCTTTCTGTATGTTTCTTAAAGTTGCTGCCATTCAAATGGGATTGACTGATAGCTCAATTTCCCATTGGGCTGTAAAACACACAGGATGGTGAAGCCTGCCCAGTTTTCACCCAAAGAGCTGGTGGTTGATTGAAACCAGCAGCAAGGTGTGGTCTTTAGGTTAGACTGCTTGGTTTCTTAAGAACCAGGCTACCAGAGCCTCCTCTTTATATGTGGACAGGATAGTTTATAAGACAAAGGTAACACTGGGAAAGGCAATTCAATAATACTGCTAAACTCTATCCTTTGGTTGGTTTTCAAGCCATCACGATGGCCCCCATACCTAGCTTCTTAAAGGGCATCCCTAGTCCAGTGCTATCAGTCGCATTTGGTAGAGAGAAAGTCTGAAAAGCTGCCCTTGAATGCAATGTCTCCTTATTTTACCATTCACTTGCTTTCATTTGTTAAATGTAAAAAATAAAATGTGAAGAATGTCAAGTGATTATTTTGAAAAGAATACAGGTGTAGGCACAGTAGACGTCTTCATACCCTGGAGATAATCTTACATGGTATCTTACACATGAGTGATATTCTTCTAGGTGGAGTAGTACCCTGACTAGAAATGTCACTTAGCCTCCGCGGACCATTGAAAAGTTATTTTTCTAAAAAAATTTTTCTTCTTTCTGAGTAACATGAACTAACATCTAATGCGAGCTTAAAGAATTATTTGTAATTCATCACTCACTCACTCTCATTGCCATGGAGATGGATGGAATCTCGAAAAATTTTCAGAGGCTGTAAATACAGTAGGAGACTGCCCATCTTTCTTCTTCATACTGGTTGGTGGATCCAAACTCCCTGCCTTTGGGTTGGCAGAGCAACTCCCTACACACAAGGCCACTGTTGTTGGGTGCTGTTTAGTCCAAAGCAACCCATAGCTGGCACTGCAGTGGGTTTTCAGAAGCAGTTAAAGGGAGATTGTTCATTCTTTTCTCATCAAGCAGCTAATGGACTTGGACCGCTTGCCTTCAAGATTGCAGTATAGCTTCTTACCATGAGGCACTGGAGCTTTCTTATTTGTGACTGTTGTTGTTGCTATGTACCACTAAGTTGGAAGCAACCCACAGCAGACCCTCAAGCAGGTTTTAAGAAGCAGTAAATCACATGGGAGGAGACTGTACATCGTCCTCCTATAGAGTAGCTGGATTTGAACTTTGTTCCTTCAGGTGGGCAGTGCAGCTTCTTACCACTTGGCCATCAGGATTCCCTTATTTGTAATCAGAAGAGCTTACAAGGCTTCTCTTATTAAAAAGTTATTTGTAATTACATATTGGGTTGTTAATTGAGAGCTGAGTTTTTTCAAATTCACCAGGAACACTGCAGGAAAAAGTCTCTTCGTGTAATGATTTATAGCTTTGGAAACCCAAGTAGGGTTGCCAAGAGTCAGAATTGAAAGAATGAAGAATCAATATTGGAAGATGACTGAATTTACTGAGAAAGGTCATCCGGCATCATAGTGATATGTTAGCACATTATTCATGGATGGACCCAGAGACCAGGATTATGCCTCTGGTTGGTAAGATTTCTACTTGCTTGATCTGTGTCCTTTGCAAACCAGAGAGGCGGGTGAGGGGCGGCGGGGCAGGGGGCCTCTATCAACCATTCCCTTTGCCCAGGGCACTATTTTCTTGCAGGCATGTTTTCCTGGACAGTGGTTCTTTTATAATTATGTGAGATTGTGTGATCTTGAAGAAAGCCCCTAATAGGATTACACAGGGCAAACTGTCACGGTTTATCCACCTTAATGGGGGAAAAGTCCCATCAAGATCACAAGGTGTTGATGGGCTATGACAAGTTCAATTGTGAATGAAAACAAGTTCTCTGAGCTTTGCTCATGCTTCTCGGGAATCCCACAGAATAACAGCCTATTTGTTCTGGTCCTCGGACCAACACTGGCCTCCACACAGCAGCCAGTATACTGAATCTTTGTTCAAGTTAGAGCAACTGCAAAAGGCCAAACACCTAGGCCCCGATGATTTCTGCTTTCATTTAAATAGGCCAAATTTGCCTCTTTATTTTTCAGCTGTGGCTCAACCAAATGCCGAGGGCAGAGAGGACAGAGTAGCGAAGAGAGGCCCGGCAGTGAGTCTCATCTTTGACACGAGCTGCTGGGTCTATCTTAACCTTAGTCTTTGTCTCACGATCTGAAACATGAAAATGACAGTTGGCTTTTTCAAGCTCCTGGCACAACTGAGAGGATTCAGTAAGATAATACACGTGAAAAGCTTTATAATACGGTGTCGGGCATATATTAACAAATGCAATGAAAACAAAAACTCTTTCACTACGGTTGCTTATACTAATGACAGCCAAAGAGTCAATCTTTAGAATGTCAATTTTTAGAGCCAAATGAAATCACGTTTGAACTGCCAATTTTTTTTTTACTTCCTGTCATCCATATCTGAGATTCTGAACCCTAACACTATTGATCTTTGAGACAGAGAACTGAGATAGAAATGGGGGGATGATACGCAATTAAATGTAACTTAAAATGTTTCCAGACATTACTGAATATTTCACAGGAAGCAAAGTCGCTCCCCTTGTGAACTGACCACTTCTTAAGAATCTAGAAGGCCAGCATCACTGCCCCAATTTTCTAAAGGTGCTAGACCTCTAATGCACCTCTCTGATATGATGTCATGAATACACACACTTTTAAAATGCTTTTAGAATGGACACTGAGTCGGCAGGACGATGCAACAGTTTTCTCTTCGGGGGACTCCCTCCCTCCACCTCGTCACTGAATCAACTCACGTTAGTAGATGCCTGGTGGTGCACTGTGTTAAGTGTGAAACACGATGGAGGATCAGCAGGAATCAGAAGTGACTACATTGCCAATTGAGTTTGCCTTGGTGAGTTAAAAGGAGGAACAGGAGG